TCGGGGTGAATGTGTGGGGTTCCCCGCCACACTCCCTCTCCCACCGAAGCCGCCGAGAGAGCGGGAGCGGGGAGTGGAGACCCGGGAGCGCCTGGCCGGCGCGGGCGGGACCCTGAGCTGCGGGCCTGACTCCTGTGATGATGTAGCCCGCATCGCGGGCAAAACAGCAGCAACACTCCTTTTCTTTTGCGATACGTCTCTCCTTGTAAGTTAACTAAACAATTTCTCACCTTAAAACCTAAATGCACCCCTGGCCGGTGTGGTTCAGTTGGTTGGGGCGTCATTCTGTACACGGAAAAGTCCCGGAATCGCGGGTTTGATTCCCGGTCAGGGTACATACCCAGGTTGCAGGTTCATCCCCAGTTGAGGTGCGTGCAGAATGTTTCTCTCTCATACTGATGTTTCTCTCTCTCGCCCTCTCTCTTCCTCTCTCTTCCTCTCTCTTCCAAGTCCATAAAAACATTTAGCTTTAAAAAGCTAAAACCATACGTTGCAACAACATCTGAGAGCTGCTGATCCTTTGTCAGCAGGTTCGGTGCGGGGAGTTCACTGGCACTTTTCAGACCAGCGTCTGAATGGATTCAGCAGCATTTCTTGGGCTTCTACTCTGTGCCGTGCTTGCGGGGAGCGCTCACAATTTTTAAAAAGCTGGGTCATAGCGATTCTATTGGCTATCAGCGGATTTACCAGAGTAAATAGGAGTCAGTTGGGTTTCCCAAATTTCTCCTTTTGAACAACAAAGACAGTTGGTTTTGATTTCCCAAAATACTCTGGCCCCTTCATCTAGTGCTGTCACCCTCTCCATATCCTCTCCTTCAGCCAATTCCGTTCAATGCTCTCAGACCGGCCATCTCTCAAATGTCTAATGACATTGCTGCCCTGCTGACCATCTACTCGGGTAACTGCCTCGGGTCTTTGTGCTGACATGTTTGCCGCAGGAAAAGCTGTCTTTAGAAAACATAGGTTAGAACTTCGGTAGAAGGTGACATGAAGAATTTCAACTTTTTTCTTTCTAAGAAACAAGTTCAAAACTGAGGTCTTTCATAGAAACCCTCCTGAAGAAGGGTCAAAAGAGGAAAAATTCGGGTTGACATGGAACCAAATTTTACTCAAACCCAACACTGACAAGGTAGATGTGGGAGCAAAACATCTCATGGGAAACTGAGGCCTCCCAGCAAAGAAAGTGCTGCAGACCCCGTTCAGGAAACTGCTCCCTGGGCAGCTGGAGTGGAGCCGGGAAGGGACCTGCAGACAACTCTGGGGAGGAAGGGAGATCAAGCTCTGCAAACAGTGGCTCCCAACAGCTGTTCTACGAGGGAAAGTGACAGGCTGATGTGTATGTTTGGGGCTACCTAGTGATAACTCCTCAATGCCAGGTTCTCGTGCTGTGTTTATAATCAAGAGCTAGACTGGGCATAATAAAATGCTAGTACTGTTTGTTTCACTAAAATTATTTTTCTCTATAAACAAAATGTCATGGCCTTTGAAAACATAGATAGCTCTAGCCTGTTATAATTGTATAAAACATTTTATAATTCAACTTCAAGTTGAATTGCTTCAAGTCATGCCACACAGAGCATATGAACACCTTAAATATAGAGTGTCCCCAAAAATGTATTAACACTTTGGGTGATTATAAAGTCAGGCTTATTAGCATACAGTTCATTTTTAAAATTTAAAAGCATCTACAGAAATGAATGCATGTTTTTGTGGGGTTTTTTTGTCAACACCTGTTTTCAAAGAATGACCATTCTGGTCCAGGGACTGCTGATAACCCAAAGCAATGGAATTGCAAGCATCAAGAATTATTTCGTTTGGTATTTCTGCACCTTCAATTCGTCAACTGTTGCCGGTTTTGTTCCATAAACTTTATCTTTAATGTATCCCCATAAAAAAGTTTAGTGGATAAATATTCTTTGTTCAAAGCTTAGTCTGGCTGAAAAGAAAGAAGCATTAATTGAGCGGTCAGTTGTTGTAATGTGTATACCTGTTTTGGGGACACCCTGTATATGCCATATCATCAGCATGCATGCAAGATTCCTGCCTGCATTACAGAACACACTGAGCTCTCACTTCCAGCGACCATCACACAACAAAGATTGTAGCAATAATTCTGCTGTCTATCGTTTAAATAAGTTGTACAATTTTTCTGAATTCTAAATTAGTCTGAATTCTAATTGAAGGGGAATTTGAAAAATCATTTCTCTTATTTATACATGCTCTAAAAAATTCAGAAGCTTCACACCTCTACATATGTCTAGAAATACTGTCAATTTGAAATTGATATATCACATGGAACTATTTCTACTTGAGCAGCTCTAGACCCCAATAAAATGTATAAAATAACACTCAACTTTTTTTAATATTGAAAAGTCTATGAAATTGAGTTTATTGCAATAAACAAGTTCATGGTTTATTTTTGTTCACGTTGAAAGCCTAATTTTCTAGACCAGAAGTTTCTACAGCAGATTACTTCTTCTCTGGACAGAGGCACAAACAGTTTCTGATAAAACACAAACCAACATGCATGCGGCCGTTTGTCTTCGGATCCAGTGGAGGAGAAAGAGAAGGGTCTCTGGCCAAACAAGGACGTGAACACGGAAATCAGACAATGAGGGCTACACAGCGCGTGGTCTGCTTTGTCTGTCAGAAAGCTCAAGACTAAAATGCCTATTCGGTTAGAGCTGGACTGTGTCTCTCATCCTGACATAGCATATTGAGGGAGGCTGAGATTTTTAGTCAGAAAAATCGACTTCCAGTTCTGTGTTCACCACTGATCACCCTTCTGAACTATGTGGCAAATGACTTGGTATCTTTAAATCCCTTTTCTCATTAGTAAACCCACTTCACAGGATTGTTATCAGGGTTAAATAAAATAATGTATGTGGAAAGTACTTTCTGATAGAAAAATAAATCCCAAATGTTCTATGTAATTATAAAACACTGGACCTCCCCTTTCTATAAGTCTGTGTTTTTCAAACATAGGTTGCAACCTATTAGTAACTGATGAAGTCAGTTCAGTGGATTGTTATCTTTCTTTTTAAAATGTATTTTTTATTTATTTCAGAGAGGGAGAGAGAGATATAAATATCAATGATGAGAGAGAATCATTGATCAGCTGCCTTCTGCTCACCCCACACTGGGGATCCAGCATGTGCCCAGACCGGGAATCGAACCTGTAACCTCCTGGTACATAGGTCAATGCTCAACCACTGAGCCACACCCATCGGGCATTATCAGACTTTAAAAATTAAATAAAATTGAAAACATCAGAGTGCATTACGCATAGTGAGGATAAGGGTTGCTTCAGGAAACTTTTTTCGGTTATATGTGTCTATGTCTAAGAAGTCATAATATTTTTAATTTGGTTGCCTACAAAGTTTTGAAAACACTGTTCTGAATGTGCATGATCTTTATTTTAAACCTTTTTTGGCTTAAATGTCTTATTCAGTATGTGCCTTTACTGGAAACCCAACTCAATCCTGTTTGGAGGGAGAAAGTTGAGCTAGAAATGAAAGAGAAATTGGGGGAAGGAGGAGAAGGGAGCTCATGTCAAATACTTTTACATACAGATATGATTGTTGAGCTCTTATTTATCAGCCTCAAACCCACCCTTCAGATCTCTCCTGTACGATGCGGGAGCTGAGCTGAGACTGAAAACTAGTGCATTTCTCATTTGACAACTTGCTACTGGTTGGGATTTGTAGGAGGCACTAGAGGGAGGCTTGAAAGCTGAAGGCTGGGGGAAGGACTTGTTTCTTTCTTTCAGCTTCCTGTTCCCTTCAGTGAGCGCCTGGCAGTGCTTCTGGTAGTGGCAGTTTACTCCATTAGCAGCACAAAGTTCACATTCGTTTTATATCACAAAGTTTGGGAACATACTATTTCTTATGTTGTGTTTATTTTAAAGTCATATATATATATATATAATCTCATAATGTGTTATTTTATAATAAGTTTATGGAGGAAAATGCAGCTAAGGTAAATGTCCTCATATGTTTTCAAACCCTTTGGTCACATCACAAATCACAGACTATTGGATCTGTTCATTCTTTCTTTCAGGACTCCCTCAGTCTGTGTCCTCCTCTGCTTCCCCTTGGCCCCGGCTTTTCCAAACACTCTCTTGCTTCCTCACCAGGTCCCTGCAACAGCCTAACTGGTCTCATCTCTAGCACCATCTTCCCCAGGCCACCCTCACACTTCACTTAGGCCAGAGAGAGCTTTCTGTATGTGGATATGATCAGTGCCTCTCCATTACCTAACACTGGTCAGTAGCCTCCATAGTCTGAAGGGTCAAGTTAAATTCCCTAGCCTGGACTCTCAGGCCTCTGCCTTCTTGAGCCCAGACACGCAGGTCCTGAAGCCCAGTGTACTGCCACTAAACAATGTTCTTTTGCCTCTAGCTAGACGGGCCCACCACCTTATACTTTCTATGTTATCCTCCCTTCCTTCTTTTCTTCCATTATTCTTTATGCTAACATTTATGGAGTAATAGCTATGCTAGGCTTAGGATCTTCTAATCAAGTCTGTTACCTCATCAGTCATTGGGTGTTCTCCAGGAAATATCGCAACTTCCGCAGTGTCCCTCCGTGGTAGCTAGTTTCCAAGACAGCCCCCAATGGAGCATGCCTCTTAGTAGCCACATCTGTGTAGTCCCTATCCTTGTGGAATCTGGGTTGGGCCTGTGACTCACTTTAACCAGGAAACTGAAGCAAAACTGATGCTGTGCTGGTTCTGGGCCAAACACTTAGGAAGACCCATGTGTGTGCTTGGGGGAGCCCCAGACTACATGTCAAAACCCCAGCCACCGTGCTGGAAAGACCACACGGAGTGCCACATGGAGAGGCTGCATGGAGAGGAGAGGCTCTAAGACAACATGGGGAGGGAGAAAGGCCCACCAACCCAGGATCCCAGATGAGCCTCCAGAAAACTCCAGCCACAGTCACCATCTTACTGCAGGACATGAGACCAACAGAACTGCCCGGTCAATCCACAAAAGTAAAAAAAAAAAATGAGCCCCTAAGTTTGGGGGTGGTTTGCTCTGTGGCACAGATAACTGAAATGCCCTTTCACCACCCCATGCTCTCCATCTTTCCCCCACTAGCACTTTTTCCATCCATACCTTTACTAGATTCCTAATCAAATTTTGTCTGTCTCCCCTAACAGTAAGTTGCATAAGGGCAACAATTGCATTCTATTTATTTTTTTACCTGAAAAGATTCAGTATAGAAAACAGAAACCACTTGAGACATTTCAAGTAAATGGTGATTTGATATTTACAAAATCACTGAAAAGCATGCCACTGGCTAGACTTTTGGGCTCAAGGTCGTGTCACCATGGTTGTAATACAGAGGCCTGGAAACTGCTGGGCTACCACTGCTATCACACATCCAAGAAGATGATGGTAAAAATATTTCCCAAAAGCAAAATCCAAGGGTAGAGCTGAACTGTAACATTCTCACTTTGTCTGTGAATTTCATATCTTCTGCACTATCATGAAAGTCGATAGGCAAATACAAAATTCATTTTAGATGTTAACCTTTTCACCTGTTTCGCAAACGCAACCAATTTCTGCAGAAGTAAAGAAGTTGCTTTTTCAAGACCAGTGCAGTAGCTGATTCTGGAAAGTATGTATAGAGTATGTTTAAAGAAAATAAATTGGCCACAAAGTCTATATTCTTGAAAATAGTCACAATGAAGGCCATATTGACAGGTAAACTCTATGGCTTCACTTTGAACTTTGTTTAACCTTGGAGATTAAATAAAATCACTTCATGCATACTCTTTATTTATCCAAGCTATCACTTACAGTGCCACATAGCTGTCTTTTGAGATGAGAAGTGGAGCAGAAACCATAAATAGGAACTCAAGACTTCTGGTTTCTTTACTTAGTTCAGCCATTCACTATAAAGATGGATTAAGATCGTTTTCACCTTTGTATTTTCACCATTTATAAAATACAGGTATGATAGGGTAACCACACAATGCTGACAAAGTATTGGGTGAGCTCTCACCCATCCCATTATCTCATACACTGTATACTGAATCTCTGAGCCCCACAGGGCTCATAAGCAGTTACAAAGCACATTGCTCACATGATTAGTTTAGCTTTTCATAAAAAGCATGAGCAGGGCCCAACTGGTGTGGTTCAGTGGTTGAGCATCGACCTATGAACCAGGAGGTCACAGTTTGATTCCCAGTCAGTGTGGGAGGCAGCCTATCAATGATTCTCTCTCATCATTGTTGTTCCTATCCGCGCCCCCCCCCATCCTCTCTGTGAAATCAATAAAAACATATATTTTTTAAAAATTACTGAAGGGTCCCAGGTTCAATTCTGGTCAAGGGCACATGCCCAGATTGACAATTTGATCCCCAGTGTGGAGCGTGCAGCCCTTCAATACCTTTACTAGATTCCTAATCCAGAAGGCAAAATGATTCTCTCTCATCATTGATGTTTTTATCTTTCTCTCCCTTTCCCTTCCTCTCTAAAGTCAATAAAAAATATTTTTTTAAAAAAACATGACTAGAATTCTTAAAAAGAAGTTGATTATAGTAGGTGAATTTTAGCGGGATTTTTTGTGTGGAATTGTGTTATTTGCTTCCATTGCTGTTGTTGAGATCTTATGTTTTTTAATGAGTTGTTTTATAGTCTTTTTTTTAAAGGCAAGTCAAAACTATAACCAAATATTAATGGTAGATAACTCTGGGGAGTGGAATCAGGCATCATTCCTTTATGTTTTACTTTATGTTCTTATGAATTGCTTATATTTTTACAATGGGAGCACAGCATTTTCAAAACTAACAATAAACGTTCTAAAATGTTATCAATGATTAACTCTGAGTAGAGGGATTGCAGATGATTTTTACATTTTTTTTTCTTATTTGAACTTCTTGAGAAAAGAATGTGCATGCTTTAAAAGAACATTGACTACGTTGTTGTCACTTTTCCTACAGAAAGTGCAGCAAGTGTACTAAGTTACAACTCAGTGTGCTCTTAGAAGTTGGTAAAACCTTCTTCACCTCATTAATCATTGGTAGATCTGAGGAACCTCCGCAAACCAGAAATAATGGTGTGGGGTCACACTGCACAGTACCTGGGGAGGCTGTCTGACTTAGGATCCATCAGGCCGGACAGTTCAAGGTCAGACTGGGAAGGGAATGAGAGTCTTCCTGGGACACTGCCCCATTCTTTTGTGGCTGTCAGAACGTGGCCAGAGAATGCCAGGGACCGAACATGTTGCCTTTGTTTGGGGAACTTTATATGATGTGATTCCTTGTTGTGTTTTTCTGTTTGTTTTTATTCCATAAACTTGAATGGACTGCTTACTATTTACCAGGCCCTGTGCTGATAGAAAGAGGCAAAATATAGGTCTCCTACCTTCAGGAAGTTCATCATCAAAAGCAAGACTCAGACAAGTAACAGGGTACATTGCAATATAGGAACGTAAGTGATCTATCTTGGTTTATACAAAGTGCTCAAAAAATATCAAGGAAGGAAAAACCAAGTCTGGGGGATTCAGGAAAATTGTAGCAGAGTTTGAAGTAAACAGTTCAAGGAGAGGGGATAGGAGGGGGAGTTGGTGCCAAAGAACCGCTAGGCAAAGACCTGGAGTCCATAAAGAGTGTGGAGAAAGGACACATGCAGTTCCTGCATTTACCACGTTGCTGCCATCAAGTGACCACACAGCGGTTTAAAACAATACAAATTTATTCTCTTGTTGTTCTGGTGGTCAGAAGTCTGAAATCAAGGGGTCAGCAGGGCTGTGTTGCTTCTGGAGACTTCGGGGTGAGTCTGCTTCCTGCCTTCCCAGCTGCCGGGGGCCACCCCCATCCCTCCGCCCCGCCTTTCTCCCATCACTCCAACCTCTTGCTTTCATAGTCTGAGGTCAAGTCCTCCTCTTCCTCCCCCATGTAAGGACACTTGTGATGACATTGGGCCCACCCAGATAATCCAGGATAATGTTCCCATCTGAAGATCTGTAATCTAATCACATCTGCAAAGTCCCTTTGGCCCCAGAAGGCAACATTTACAGGTTCCAGAGATTAGAACCTGGAGATGGTTAGAGCCATTCCTTAGCCCGCCACTGTCACCCTGAGACTTTTACACCCTAATTCATCCACCTGGACAGCTCTTCTCCCTCGGGTCAGTTGAAGTGGCTCCTTTGCAGTTATGGTGTAAACCTGGGCAGTTTGCTGAATGTCTCCCACTTGAGTCTACTTATCTGGGATATGGGGATAACAGACCCAGACTATTAGGTTTTTGTGAAGAGAAAATGAGTTAATGTATGGAAAGCAGCACTTGGAGTATAAAAAGCTCCAGCGTAAAAGGCCTGTTGCCGTCATTGCTTTTGTTACCCAGGTTTCTATGCCAGTAACACCTCTGCAAAAATACCTTTCCTAGCTGCCCTATCTGAAGTAGTCCCTCTAGTAATTCTCTACATACCACTATTCCTTTCTTTCTTTTTTGTTTTTCATAATCATGGTCACAGTCTCAACATTATTTTGTATGTGGTATGTACTTCACTTAGTGTTTTTCTTCCACTTCCTTCACTACAACGCAAGCACATTTACCACTGATTCTTCGGCGCCCAGCATGAGGTTTGGCCCGTGGTAGGCTTGCACTAAGCACCTGTTGAATGAACAAATCAAACGCCCTAGTCCTGCATCAACCAATAGAGTAGCCACTAGCCACACATGGTTACTGAGCACCTAAAATGTGGTGATTCCAAACTGAGATGCCCTGAAAGTGCAGAATACACATCAAATTTTGAAGACTCAGCATGAAACAAATAACATTAAATATCCCATTAGTAATTTTCATATTGTTTACACATTTAAATAATAATTTAGATATGTTGGGTGAAATGAAATACATTAGCATCAGTTACTAAAAAATTTAAATTACATATGTGATTCAGATTATAGCACTGCCCTCGAAAGCACTTACAGTATGTGCTCTAAAGGTTAGACTGCGGTTTGAATCGTCGTCCACCTTTTACTAGTTGTGTGACCTTAGGCAAATTACTTCTTTCAGAAAAAGTTATCTATCATTAGCTAAGTTCCAAAGAAAAAAAAGTATTTTTTGTCAGAGTTGTTCAGAGCTTTATAAATGTTTTCAAGTAGGGAAAAAGAATAATATGAATAAAATTTTAGAAGATACTTAATAGTGATTGATGGTGGGGCTTTCACTTCTAATAATGTCTGTTTCT